GTGACGGTCTGGTAAGACGTGCAGGAAGTCGATGGATGCAGGTGGATCAGGACCGTGCTTTGTGGCATTCCTTGGGGTAGGCCTATGTTCAGTAGTGGACTTGTGAAGGGTTGTAATGATGATGATGATAATGTAGCAGACCTGTCTCACTCCGCGCTTTAGGCATGAAAATACACCTACGCTGCGCGGCCCCGCAAGCGGGGCTAATTCCGCGAGGTTGTACCATGCTCGCTCGAGCTGACACGCGCTTTACGTTTACATAAAAATTATTTTCTCTAATAAGTATTTAGGCACCTTTTACACCCATTTATTTTTGAGTTTTTATTCAAGTATGGCCTCTCAAATAGCGAAAAGGTACTGCATAGCATACGGGTACTTAAATAACAATAGGAACGTCGACTTTTATTCTTTACTGTTCATAAGGATACCGAAAGGTAATATATTATTATTTATAGGTAGATCTAGATAATTAGTTTATTATTTGATTAGTGACCCGACCAGTTTTCAATTATTTCGCGTATAAAACCAATGACCTCAAAATGTTGCTCAGTGTAAGTACCCCCCAATACTAGTGACTGACTACTAATGCAAGATCAGCTTATACTAGTTATTATATGTTTATTTCTTGGTCGAAATAATCTGTTCTATGTAAACTGTCCCTGCGATACAGAAGAAAATCCTAGTGTGGAAGTAACGTTTTTTTAAAAAGAGAGGAAGAGAGACAACTAATGAAATTAAAATTTTGCACAACCGACTTCAATATTAATACGCAGTATTAAGGATAAATCCAAAACAAAATGGTCAGATCTTGATCAAATTTATATGGAATGTATAAATTATACGAGTAAGCACCAGCTTTCAAATAAAATCTTAATGTTAATTGCATATTAACCTTCCTCGCATTGAACAAAAGTTTTTATTATCAGCAAATCGATGGCTCCGTAGCTCAGTGGCGTAGCAATGAGTTGCAACACTGGGGCCGCGGATTCGAATCCCTAACGGAGCAAGTGTTTGTATGGCCTAGAAATAATTGTTCCGGTTCCGGGATTTTGAATGAGAGGTCAGCACAAGTTGGCACGCAAGAAATAAGCTCGTAGATAATTTTTTTTTTTAGATCATAACAGTGGTTATATTTTGGTTTTCCAAAATGTTCTGTAAGTGACTGTGCTGTCATTAATAGAAATAATCCTAATTGTTGCACATTTCACAAGTAAATTCGCAAGACGTCGTTACTGCTATGACTTCTCTATTTCTGGTTAAAATTTATGTTATATTATATATATAAATTATATCACATAAATTTTAATCAAAAATAGTGTATACTGTTCAAAATACAGAATATTTTCAATTATTTTATTAACTTTGATATTCTGCAAAGAAAAAGCCACGTTGTATGATTTGGTGAATTTATTTTAAATAAAATATTTTACATGTGCACTGGGGATTGACTCAACTGTATCAAAATTAATGTCGATATTTTTATTGAATGTTTAAAAAGAATCGACAGACTTAATCACACAGCAAAAAGGGGGATGAAATTAAATGCTCAATTTGTGTTGTAAATTGTAAAAACGTAATTTTATTTTGCCGTTTGTCAAATAGACTCCTTCTGGATTCATTGGTTAGAAGAAATTATTGGCATTTACTGGACGCGTTGGTTGGAATCCAAAGAAGAACTCTACAATTTGCAGCGAACATTTTCTTGGGAAATATGAAAGAAAGAGTAGAATACAAACAATATTATTTTAAGGAGCAATTGCTAACTATATTTAGCAATTATTTCTTTGTAGTAGTAAGTATAATATTGTTACAGTAAGACTTCAAAAATTTTAAGTTCAAAATCTTTAGGTAAAAGTAGATATAGATTTTAATACATTATAAAAGTAGTATATTAAAAATAATATATAAATTCCATAGTATTTGATACGCGCAAGCGCAACGCTCGATGCTCCATTCATGTTTGATGCCCTATGACAGTGTGCCGAGGGCTTGATAGCGTGGTTCATCGGCTACTGCCTTAGTCGTAGAGAAGAGGACTCGTGGTTAAGTAACAGTTCCGTGGATCTATAGATCTGCAAGATTAAGCTTCGCTTGCTGCGGTCAGTCCATGTATGGGTGACCGTTTTCTTAACATACCGAGATTAAAAGAATAAAGGGTGTATCTGTATCCTCAGACACTTGGTGCACTTTAATATCTCCTGTGTATTTGGCTAGCCTCTGTTACGATCATTATGTTTTTAAAATTCATGCAGCTAAAATGATAATAAGTTTATTATTACTTTATATTTTTCAGGGACAGATGAAAGAACGAGCAGCCTCATAAACATATTGGCCTTTAAACAGAGCAATCTTATTTAACTGATTCCTACAAGTTTCCTTTCTTAAATTATTAAGTTTACATTCATATTTAGGTCGAATGTTAAAATAAACTTCCACAATGTATCTAATTATTAATTAATTATTAAATATTTGTATATGAAAAATAAAGCAGCGATTATGTAATCCGTGTCCCTGTTTTTATATTTTACCAGCAAAAAAATTTATAAAATATATAAAACATGTATAAAGAGGTATAAACTTAAATAAGTATCTATTTATTTATATTTTGGACGTGGTAGAGCCTTGCTGCAGCTACATTAGTAGTATAGTTGTAGTACGAATGGGTCGGCTCGACCGGGGAAGGACCACGCTCTCACAGAATACCAGCGTAAAATAGCAGCTCAACACTGCTGTGTTTCGAGTGTAGAAAACGGAATACCCTTTTGACTGAAAACGAGGCATTCCATCTTAGTTCTCACGGGTGACAACGCATCTGAAGTTTGATTAGTAATCGAGGATAGATGTAGATCTCTATGGGCCACAGGATCCACTTACCATTAGGTGGACTGTGTGCTCGTTTGTCACCTTTATACTATAAAAAATATTTGATTAATATAACGGTAAAAAGAGAAATTCCGGGGACACTGTCTATGTCGTTAAATATTTTTTGTAAAGGTTATAGCACGAAAATACTACTTACCGATCTGATTCTTAAGTTGCGGGTTAGAACTCACTGGTGAGCGTGGCCAAAAAGCACGCCTGGCCTGGCATCGTGCCCGACAGAGATATTATCAATGATGAGCAGTTAGATTAGAGTCTAATCTAACTGCTCATCATTGATAATATCTAATCATTAGACGCTAGTCTTCACTAGTGTTGCCCAAATGCAAGAACAAGACGAGACTTATATAAAGGCCGGCAACGCATCTGCGATTCCCCTGGTGTTGCAGTTGTTCATGGGCGGCGGTAGTCACTTACCATCAGGTGAGCCGCATGCTCGTTTGCCCCCTCTCCTATAAAAAAAAAAGACTTAGCCAGTCTTGGTCTTGGTCTTGCGCCAATACACCTGGTCTTGTTCTTGGTCTTGGTATTGCGCTCTCAGTCTTGTTCTTAGTCTTGGTCTTGCAGCAAGAGTCTCGCAAGTCTCGCCTAGCCTATTGCTATTTTAGATCTATAAACGTTACTTTAGATCTTAGAACAACTTAACACAGTAGGCACATTTTGAGCTTGAATTAACATAGCCATAGAAAGACCAACCAAATTAATAAATGTCTAAACATTTAATGAGAAATTCGAAAAATCAACTAATACCGGGTGGGGTTTGAACCCACGACCTAAGCGATCCGTGCCGATGCTCCAACCAACAGAGCTGTCTACCATGTCTCACGGCCACGGGAGTTAGTCTGTTTCTTAATAAACGTTTACATTTAATAAGCTTACATGTGCTAAAACTTAGTCAAAACATATTAATGACATTAACTTCACTGTATTATAAAGAACATTATCTGTCTAGAAAGAGATTGATAGACCCTTATATGAAATGGAATAAAAGAGCTATACAATTTACCATTTATTTAAATAAATAAATAAAATACAATACAAATTAAATTACATAACAGTACACAACAGCTTTGACATTACTGTTACTTTATATTAATTCTTTTGACCAAGAATTAATACAAAGTAACCATCTGGCTGACTTATCACTTAACCTATTTTTATGTTTTCTAATTACTAATGATGGTTTGGAAAATAATCTCTCAGCAGGTACTGAAGTTGCAGGTATTGAAAGAAAATCACGGGCCATCTTCGATAAAGTCGGATATTCTGTCTCATGCGTCCTCCACCACTCTAAAATGTCTTCCGAACTGGCGGCTCTGGGTTTACTTAGGTACTCCTCCAACTCGTTTATAACTAAGCCTTGATGAAAAGATCCAGATCCCGATGACGTCGAGGGACATGCATACAGTTTCTCAAAGTCTATTACGTCTTCATCTTCATCATATTCACATACTTTCTTTTCATTTCTTGGTGATTCTAGAGATGTATTCACTGAGTCTGAGTGTAGACTTTTATATTCTTTATAAAGTTCATTAAATTTGCGCAGGCTTTCTGTTTTAATTTGCTTCCCCCATAATTCATCTCAAAAGTCTGAGTTTTATGCCATGGGTCTAAAATTAAAGAGGTACAATAAATCTAGTTGCTCTTTTTATAATGTTTAAGCATTTTGTCTCGAGCTGCTTGAAAACCCAGAATGAGCCTTTCATCCACTTCGGATCGATTAGGTTTCTCATCTAATTGTTTTACCATGGATTCAATTTTATCAAGCAAGAGATTGAATGCTACAATGACTAGCGGTAATGTAACATATTTTTCTCCACCAAGTTTCGTTGATAGAAGTTTAAAGTTTATTAGAAACTTATGTATTTTTTCGAGTATTTACCATTCACTATCTGTGATTTGAAAATTATTCAATTCGGTGACAGAAGTGCACAATATGTTAATGCCAGTTCTCACTTTTAAACCAAATCCAATCATATCATCTGTGGAATTCCATCTCGTTGGACAGTCGAGTATGGGGTTCAGATTTGATGGCACGCCAGCTGCTTCACAAGCAGACTGAAACTTCCTCTTCAATATCTCACCTGTTTTTATTTTACTGGAAATACTGCGTAATTTTGTTATACTGTACGTGAGTCAACAATGTTTGGCGCATATTCTTCATCTTCCTCAGTTTCGTCTTCATTGTCTTCATACTGCTGTTCTTGTCCCTTATTGTCAGTTTCACTGCGTAATGCTAAGGTCTTTAATAAATCTTGTACACCAAGGTTCAAAATGTGAGCAAAGCACCGGAAATGTTGATTGTCTGAATCAAAATGTGGCAGCTGTTTCTCCAATTCATGCATAAATTTGGTATTTGCAGTTGCGTTGTCGACCGTGATACCCTGTATTTTATCAATTATGTCATATTCCAATAAGCATTCGTGGAAAATCGTTGCAATATCTTCCCCAGTATGTCGACCGCGTGATGGTATAAAATCAAGGACTACAGATCGATACTTCCATTCGTTGTCTATATAATGAATAGTGACCCCGTAGTAACTCCTACCAGCAATTGACGTCCATCCATCAATGGTAAATGACATTTTAGATGAAAATTGTTGTAGTCGTTTCTTAAGATTAAATTGAAGCTCTTCAAACCGTTCTTTGACCGTCCTTCTAAGTGTGGACCTTTTAGGAAACACCATATTTGGGCAAATTGATCGAAAATATACTTGTGTAGCTTCGTCATCGAAAAATGAGAAGAGAAGATATTTTTTAAACATCCAATCAACTGTAGCTGTCGTGATGTTGTCACTGCTATTTTCACACTGAATATATATAATATGTAACGTAATTAACGCACACCCTCAGACACCCCAATAAGTATATTATGTTATAATCATTATACATACACTGACTTTTTAATTAAACATGTTTATGCATTGATTATTTATTAAATTAGTTATACTAATTCCGGAACAATTTTGTGGTCACAGTATAAATCCACGAACGCACGCAGTCGCTCACGTAGGTGTAGGTTTAGAGAGTCTTTCTATCACAGTAGGTACCTATTCGCTCGCGTTCGAGACGAGTTAACGCCGCTTGACACAACTGTAGGTAGGTATAAGTGCCGAAAAAAGCTGACAATACACAATTGTTTATGTTAAAAAAATACCTACCTATGGTCACTAACTGATGTTCGTACTCCGACCATCGAGTTGTTTATTTAAGTCTAGTAAACATTTGATCGCATCTTTCAATCACACTTCAACCATTGGACTTTCGACTCTGAATAATTTTGTTTATTGATTATGATACAATGTCAATAGGCAATATTCGTTACAAAATGTTATGAATTTGCATAACATTTGAATTGTAATTGTAAATAATAATAAACTGCTAAAACTAAGAGGCAATACGAAAACATAACTCAAAGACGGCGTGGTTAAAAGATGTGAATCAACATTACAATAATTTTAAGAATCAAATATTTAACTTACTGATAGCCTAAACTCTCATGCAACGTTGTATTTTAATACATTTTCGAAATGTCCACCATGGCTACGTGGCGCAGTGGCTTAGCAATTGAGTTGCAGCGCTAAGGATCGCGGGTTCGAATCCCGCACGGAACAATATTTGTATGGCCTACAAATAATTGTCCCGGGTCTGGATGTTTGTCCTTGTGAAATTTATGTATGTACACTGCCCTCACAATACAAGAGAAAATCCTACTGTGGAGGATACGTTTTAGAAAAGGAAAAGAAAGAAAATAATTTAGAAAGCAATTCAGTGTCATTTTTCACTATTCTAAAGTCGTTCACTCATAGAATTAATATTTTAAGGTCCTCGGCACTTGTCGTCTCACTAAAATAAACTAATAATTTAATACGTATTAATATTTAATACGTGCGTAATCAGGTGATCTGGGAGGTCAATGGCCCGGCCGCAGCGACCTTTATAAGGTACTCCAAACTCTGTATTTGTAAAGACTTTAACGTACTTGAAATAAGGTTCAATTTTCTTTATTTTGTATTGAATGACGGAATTTGTATTAATACAAATAACACTGCACTTTTAAAAGTCTTATTGCCTTGAGTTACGGTCCATTTCAGTTTGTATTGACTGTACAGGTTTAGTCTGATTGTAAATTACGTAGTTTCAATTATTTTTGGATAAAAAAATTACCTATATTAAAAATGATAGAAATCGATTCAGTAAACGATTCTGAACAAACTACTTTCTCAAAGTGCGTTAATTATATTACGTGTTGTATATATATATATATATATATATATATATATATATATATATATATATATATATATATATATATAACTACCACTCAGTGACTGACTATAACGATATCTCAGGAACTATAAAACATACAAACTTGAAGTTTGTAAGGTAGGTTCCTTTTATGGCATAGAGATCAGTTAAGAAACGGTTTTGATAAAATCTATCCCTAAGGGAGTGGAATGGGAGTTGGAAGTTTATATGAAAATCCTACGTTTTTGAAGTTAGAGACACGAAAATCGGCATTAAAGTTATAAGTTTTCAATAATAAAATCCTGAATAAGCTGTTTTACGAATGCCTAACCCTAAGGGGGTGAAATTGGGGTTAAATGGTTACATGCAAGTCCTATATTTTTAAAGTATAGATATGAAGATCGACATTTACTTTATTAGTTTTAAATAATAAATACTAGCATAGTTAAGCTTTACCTATATAGCCTCTTTATACTTAGGTAAGACTTTTGCAGCGGGAAAATTTCAAAATCTCATAGGAAATCAGATATTGTACGCGGACGAAGTCGCGGGCGGCCGCTAGTTACATATTATATGTGTTATGTAATTGTGTGATAAGTATATTTTTTCTTACCTGTCCACTTTCTCCGGTGGTTATTAAAAAGCTTGTGAAATCTCCACTTAATTTTGGTTTTTCAGGAAGAAATATTTGTGATTCCTTTTTGTGGAAAGATATTAGATGCGTCCTTAAGCCTGAAGTGTTTCTGTTTTTCATTTTTATTTCAACCTTTTTATGTTGGCATAATTTTCACAAAGCAATTTGGGATGCATGAATTATGTCGAAAAACTCATCAAATTTGCTTTTAGGTCTTTTAGTTCTATAACTCCAACTCTATTATTTATTATCATGTAAAGAACGTAAAGACATTGTGAGCCTCTCTGTTGAGAGAACTGTAGAAATGGCATGTGTTGAGTTTGAGCACCTCATTGTTGTGAGCGTCTACAGACCCCCATGTTGTACATATGATACTTTTGAAAACATTATGGAGGACGTTTTTGCTAAGCTTAATAACCAGAATAAATCTGTTGTAATATGTGGAGACTTTAATATCAATCTCCTAGAAGCTTCCTCAATCAATATTAAATTTAGATCATTGTTTAAATAATATGGTCTTTTTAATTTATTAATAGAGCCAACGCGTATTTCTCAATCTAGTGCATCATGTATTGATAACATTTTTACAAATGTAAAGCCGTTGCGTAAATGTATAATTCAAAAATTAAGTTCTGATCACTGTGGACAAGTAGTTTCGTTACCTTATGTTCACAAAAAGCAAGTAGATGAGAAAGTTGTGTCTGTTCCAGTAAATGCACGTCGCTTGGAGAAATTTAGAAGTAACATAGTGAAAAAACTTCCATCACTTTCATACCAAAATGATCCTAATTTTTTGTATGGAACATTATTTAAGCTTATTTGCAATGAATTTAATAATACTTTTACTTCTAAAACATTCTCCTTGAACAGTCGGAAGTCATTCAATGAATGGGCGACAGTAGGAGTCCATAAGAGCAGGCATAGGTTATATGATCTTTACCATGAAAGGTCATATAATCATAGCGTCGAATTTAGGGAATATGTAAAACTATATTCAAAAATATTTAAAAGAGTGTGCTCCATAGCCAAGTCTTTGCATTTGAGCAACAAAATTAAGACGGCTTCCAATAAAATTAGAATGACATGGAGTATAATTAATAGCGAAACTGGTAAGATCAACTCTCGAAATTCAAATTACCAGTTAAGTGTTAACAACAAATTAACTGTATCAGATCAGGACGTAGCAATGGTTTTTGAGAAATATTTTACTGATATTCCGATCTTGACCACTAAGTCACTGAATTCTTCTCCTGCGGTCGCCGAATCATAACTTAAACAAAATGTAAATGCGTGTACAAAGAATTTTGCATTTCATAAAGTATCATCAAAAGATATTGTAAAATATTTTAAAACTATTAATGTTAAGAATACTGTGGATCTGTGGGGGATTTCCGTTAGTTATTGCGTCTATAATAGATACGATCGCGCCTCATCTAGCTATTATTTTTAATACTAGTATCGAATCTTGTGTGTTTCCTGATTTAATGAAGTATAGTAAAGTAATACCTTTATTTAAATCTGGTAGTACATTAGACCCCGCCAATTTTTTATTAAACCTATTTCTGTACTACCAACACTTAGTAAGATTTTTGAAAAAATTATTCTTGATCAAATGTTAAATTTCTTTAATATAAATAATTTACTTCATAAAAATCAATTTGGTTTCACAAGTGGTCGCTCGACGACTGATGCCGGTGTTGAGCTGATTAAATATATCTTTAATGCATGGGAGAATTCACAGGATACTTTGGGTATATTTTGTGACCTATCCAAGGCCTTCGATTGTGTTCACCATGAAACATTAATCAGGAAACTTCAACACTACGGTGTAAGAAGTGCTGCTCTTAAATTAATTATTTCATATTTAAGTAAGAGAACGCAAAAAGTTGTCATTAACAATATGAGCTCTTCCGGATCGATGGTACAAATGGGCGTGCCTCAAGGCTCAATTCTCGGCCCCTTTCTGTTTCTTGTATACATTAATGACTTACCTTACATAGTAGGGGATAACCATGATATAGTATTATTTGCAGATGACACTTCTTTAATTTTCAAATTAAGTCGACAATTACTAAAATATGCCGAAGTAAATAATGCTATATCTAAATTAGTAAATTGGTTCGATGTTAATAATTTGCATTTAAATGACACTGAAACGAAATGTATGAAATTCGTGACTCCAAATGTCAAACAATTAAATACTAATGTAATATTAAATGGGGAGAAACTGAGTCTTGTAGATACCACCATTTTTCTTGGAATCACACTAGACGCGAAGCTTCAATGGAGCCCCCATATATCAAAACTAGCAAGCAGACTTAGTTCTGCAGCATATGCTGTAAAAAAGATTAGAAGTCTAACCAGTGTTGAAACAGCTAGACTAGTTTACTTTAGCTATTTCCATAGCATAATGTCGTAAGATATTTTGCTATGGGGACACGCAGCTGACACTGAAATTATATTTGTTTTACAGAAGAGGGCCATAAGAGCAATTTATGATTTAAAGCCTAAAGAGTCGCTGCGACAAAAATTTAAGGAAATTAATATATTAACTTTGGCCTCTCAATACATTTATGAAAATGTAATGTACGTACACAAAAATAAAAGTAGTTTTACAAAAATAAGTGATATTCATTCTGTAAATACTAGGAACAGACACAAGCTAGTAGTACCAGTTACTCGACTCCATCGAGTCAGTAATTCATTCTTGGGGCGATGTATACGCTTTTACAACAAAATTCCAGAAAATATACAAAGTTTGACCTGCTCAAAGTTCAAAAACTTTATTAAACTAAGTTTGTATAA